GTTAAAGGCAGCCTTCTCCGCAATGCATCGGCGACATCGCAGGCGAGTGCGAGCCCCAAACAACTTTCCCACGGGAGCCGCACATCCACGTCGTATGTCATATTGCGAGACAACGCCTGCATTGCACAATGAAGCAAACGGCAAGTATAATTCAAGTGAGGCACGAAGGGATACCGAGATGATGCCATAGCAACTCGCAACCAATAGCTGCAACATGACTGGTGTGGCAGAAAGTGGGTTCTGGGACACATGCCATAATGAATCAAACCATCGGTATCATTACTCCTGTCCGGGCATCCCAAGAATTCCCTTTGGGCGGAGTGGAAACGGGCAGATGTGTTCATATCCCGCAAATTATGCGAAACACGCTGGCCGCAACGTAGGGAAACGAATATTTGCCCACAGACTGAAGTCCGAAGGCAGTTAATTGAAGGGTATTGCTGTCAGCCCCTTGTAGCCCAATGCGGGTCCTTCCAATGATCGTCTGAGCATGGTCCTTCCCGCTCTGCGGCGCACACATGTGAGGCCTTCGAAGAATGATTTTTCGGGGTCCGGGGGGTCAACGTGGAAAGAGAACGTGGGCACCTCTTCCAAGTTTCTATTCGTCCCAATATGAAGCGAGTTCGCCCACCATCCTCCATGCCTCGCGCAATCACGCAACCGTCTGAGCCAGTCCTGCGGACGGAGCCGCCGCACCCGAACAACCTTCACACTTATTGGCCGTCCGTGCGCGTGCAGCAATAGAGATGTGTGCGATGTGTGCGAGACATCCGGGGCGAGCCTCTCCAGTCCGAATCGGAACACAACAAAGCACGGACTGTGGTATGACACTGAGCGGGCCTGTTGTGGAGGGCGCGCCGCTGGATGTCCCCAAGGGGGGAAAAGGTGGGAACCCCTCCCCCCTCCTTTCCCCGATCCGTCGTCGGGGACCCCCCCCTCCCCCCCTTTCCCGATCCGTTGCGGGGAACCCCCCCCCCCTCCCCCTTTCCCGGTCCGTCGTCGGGGAACCCCTCCCCCGTTTCCCCGCCTTTCAAAAGGGGGGGGGGGTCCGACCCCCCCCCCTCCACCTCTTTGGCCGCCAAATTCGAACCTCCCCTTTCGCCACGGCGCCCCTGGGCTCCGGAACCCGACCCCTACCACCCCTAACATTAATCCTCACCCCTACCCCAACCCCTAACCATAACCCCAAAACCCTAGCCCCAAACAGTACTCACTACTCACTGCGCACTACTCATTACTCGCTACTCACTACTCGCTATTCACTACCCACTTTTCACGACCCACTACTCACTACTCACCACTCACTACTCACTACCCACTACTCACTACCCACTACCCACTACTCCCTACTCACTACTCCCAACTCACTACTCACGCCTAACTACTCACTACTCACTACACACTACCCAATACTCGCTACTCACAAAACACAACTCACTACCCACTACTCACGAGTCATTACTCACTATTCACTACCCACTAACCACTTCCCACTACCTACTACTTACTACTCACACTTCACTACTCACTTCTCCCTGCCCACAACTCACTACTCACTATCTCCTACTCATTACTCACTACTCACTGCTCACTCCCTAAACAGTATTGGCTACTCACTACTGACTACCCGCTACTCCCTACACCTTACTCGCTACCCAATACGCACTATTCAGTACCCACTACCCACTACTCACTACCCACTACTCACTACTCACTACTCCCTACTTACGAATCACTAACCACTGGTCACTACTCACTACTTTCTATTCACTACTCACTACTCACGACTCACCACGCACTATTCACTACTCTCTACTCGCTACTCACTACCCACTACTAGCTACCCACTCCTCTCTTCTCGCTACTCACTACTCACAACTCCCTATTTAATACTTGCTACTCACTACTTGCTACTCCCTACTCGCTACCCACTACTCCCTACTGCCTACTGACTGCTCACTCCTCACTACTCACAACGCCCTACTCGCTACTCACTACTCACTACTCGCTACCCAGTACTCGCTACTCACTACCACTACCCACTCACTAACTCACTACTCACTGCTCACTGCGCACTACTCTTTACTCACTACTCACTACCCACTACTTTACTACTCACTACTACCTACTCTCTAGTCACTGCGCAGTACTCACTACTCACTAGTCACTAGTCACTACTCAGTATGCACTACCCACTACTCACTACTCATTACTCACCACCCACTACTCACTACTCACTACTCTTTACTCCCTACTCCCCACTCAGTACTCACTACTCATTACTCACTAGTCATTACTCACTACTCGCTACTCGTTATTCACTAATCAGTACTCGCCAGTCACTACTCACTACTTTACAGTTCAGTACTCAGCACTCACTATTCACGACCCACTACTCCCCACCTCCTGCTCCCGATGCCCTACTCGCTACTCACTACCCACTGCTCACTATTCACAACGCACTACTCACCACTCACTACTCACTATTTACTACACGCGACTCCCTATTCCGTACTCCCTACCCACCTTCTCCGGCGCAGAAAAGAGAAGCGGGAGAAGCCCCCTCCCCCCCCCCCTGGCCCCCTGTTCGGCGCAAAGGGGGGGAGACGGGGGGTGTCCGAACCCCCCCCACCCTTCCAGCGCCAAGGTGGGGAGGGGGGGGGGTCTGGACCCCACCCCTTCAAGGGGGGAGGGAAGGGGGGGGTTCGGACACCCCCCCCACTTTAGGGGGAGGGGGGTTCTTCGAGCACCCCCCCTTTTGAATTACAGGGTGATCCAGTGGATCGCTTCCCCTTTTGTGACCGCTGAGCTCAACTTGTGTATGTCCTCCGCACCTGGTCACTCACAGGATATCATTGTAGGTTGCACTGAAGCTTGAAAACGCAGAGCACGTTCTAGGCGAGGAATTCACGAGTCCAGCCGAGGCCCGCACCCCTAACATCCAGCGCCCTGGCTTCAAGTCCAAGCATAATGCCAACCGTGCCTGCCGATGCGCGGCCGGACCAACGAGCACACCTATGTGCCTGTCATGCCAGTCTTCGTGCACGACAGTACGTACCACCCCACTAGGGGGCCACAAGCGCACCCTCCCCCTCAGAAATCGTGGGGGGTAGGGGTAGGGTTCGCGTGAGGCCCCCGACCCGCGGCACAAGCCCCCCCCAAGACACCGCCCCGGTCGGCACCTCTCGAAGAACCGCCGTGCAGTTCCCACTGCTGGCCCCGAGCCCGCCGGAGCCCTCCAGGATGTGCAGCGAGGCCAGCGCGGGGCTCCAACCGGTGACGTGAACAAGGCGGAGCACTCAGTCCTCACGCCCAACGGTGTAAAAGGACGCGGTCAGTTCGAACACTGGCGCGAGGAAGGATCCATCTGAGAACGGGGCCAGCGGCTATCGCGAAGAGGGTCATTATGCTAGGCTTCCCCTGACGTGCCCCGCGACACATCGGGAAGCGAGCTTGTAGGAGGCAACAATACTGGGTGGCAGCTTGATTATCCCGATGTTTTCGCGAAAGCCTTGTCAATTGTAATCAGGATATCTACACATATGTATACATGTATACATGTATACATGTATATATATATATGTATGTTGTGCGAGCACGGTAAGGATCCAAGCAATGAGATCGCATGGCGACGCCGCAGCGAAACCCGTCAAAAGCTCAGCATTGTGCGGGCGCGCGCCCGTCGACTTGTGACACCCCCAGCCTTCAGTGACAACGAAACTAGCAGCAGTAGATCGTCCCCGAATTCCTCCCCCCTCGCTGGTTTTGAATAACAAAGTGCTCGGCCACCACCGCCACAAGCGGGAGTCCAAAGCCTACCTAGAGACACCGCTTTAGCGGTAGCAGTGCACGATGCAAATGGCCTGATCATCGCAGCAAGCCGAACGCAAGATTGATGCCCGTCCGCTGCGTCTGTACCATCCGGGGGACCAAACAGCACCATCTCACGAATGCCAGCAGGCAGATGAAACGAATGTGTGGCATGCAAAAGGAAATGTATGTCATACAATAACCTGAGCCCAACTTGGGCCCTCTTGGGGGCGTCTTAGGCTCGGGCTCTTGTAAGCATCTTGGGACTTCTTGGAAACCTCTCGAGCCTTTCTTGGAGCTAACTGGATCCGAAGAAGTGGATCGTATGATCATTCGCTCCTCCTCCTCCTCCTCCTCCTCCTCCTCCTCCTCTTCCTCGTCCTCCTCGTCCTCCTCCTCCTCCTTCTCCTCCTCCTCCTCCTCTTCCTCCTCCTCCTCCTCCTCCTCCTCCTCGCCTCCTCGGTGCCCCGCGCGGGGCCTCCTTGGAGCCTCTTGGGGTCACGTTGGCGCCATTTTGGGGCGTCCTGGGCCGTCGTGGGAGCTGCGGGGGGCCTCCGGGGATATCTGGAGGGACATCTGACGCCTCGTGGATTGAGCCGCCCCGATCTCGTGCCGTCTGCAAGACGTGGAGGGCGGAATAATGGGGGCGTCCTGGGCCGTCGTGAGAGCTGCGGGGGGCCTCTGGGGAGATCTGGGGGGACATCTGACGCCTCATGGATTGAACCGCCCCGATCTCATGCCATTTGCAAGACATGGAAGCCGGAATAATGATTTGCAGATTGAGGTCATGCTTTGGCGAAGCAAGTTGACCGCTGGAACGTGCTGGGGATATCTAATCATATGGCAAAAGGCACGCATCAATTATTCTGCGCGGCGGCGACATTGCAAAACATTGCGGGGGTCATAACCTTCAAAGCAAACAGAGCATGGGGAACTGAGAACAAATCATAATAATTACAGAAATCAAACATTTTCCGTTTGATTCGTCTATATGTTTTGGAACTCTCGTGTAACATGCAAGGACGTCTCTTGGGCATTAAACTGGGGCGCCTTAGCCCATCGACTCGCTGGGGCAGGTCGGAAGCTCAGCGAAGGCTCCCGGAGACTCCTGAGGCCCTCGGGGTCTTAGAAACACCGTCTGGCCCCCGGGCACTTCTGGCACGCAGGGGCTCCTGCGTTGTAGAAGAGGCGGCGTGGGGCTCCAGTTTCGCCTCCCGCATCTTTCTCAGCAGCGACAGAGCCTGCTGCCACTGCTCGCCCTTCTCGCACGCGCTAATCCCAGCGCCGTAGCTGATGACTACCAGTGCGGCCCTTTTGACAGGTGACACCCGGGGCGGCAGAATACCCTATTGCAGGTTCGTGTCATCATGACGACCCCAGCGCTGGTTTCTGACACTGCGTGGATCGCTCAACCTTGAACGATCGGCGGCTCTTCGATCGCCCGACCGTTCCATATAGGCCGATTCTGGGCCACTGGCGGCGTTCAAACTTGAATGCCCGCGGCGGGCGTCGCCGCCGGTCGAAGCGACGCGAACCTACCGTAAACAGCTCCGTAGACTATTACGGATAACGTTATTAATATATGTATGCGCATACATGGAGAAATAGAAAGGGATACATGTGTATATATATATATATATATAAGACTGCAGTGGCGCTTCGCGCCATGCACCTTGGTCCTTGAAGTTTGGTACGCAGGCGGAATAGAAGGAAGGTCAAGCCGACAATTTAGCGATAACTCTTTGTTGCCTTTTCTGGCATCGCCGCTATAATAATGTTATTCGTTATCCTTCCTCCATGTTTCTTTTTCTTCATTACCTAACAGCTTTTGCTGATAGGTTTCTAGTGGTCTCAAAAGAGAGCAGCAGATGACTCCACAGGGGGGTCGGGGCGGGACCCGGGGCCTGCCGCCGAAGCCGAAATCGCTTGGGACATCCTCGCAAAATCGCTCTTGGTGCTCCCAGAACTCCATTCCCGGGCCACATTTTGGATGCCCGGAGCCAACTGTAGGCCACTTCGTGCTCTTCGACTTCCCAGAACTCCATTCCCGGGCCACATTTTGGATGCCCGGAGCCAACTGTAGGCCACTTCGTGCTCTTCGAGTTCCCAGAACTCCATTCCTGGGCATGATTTTGAATGCCCGGAGCCAACTGTAGGCCACTTCGTGTTCTTCTAGTTCCCAGAACTCCATTCCTGGGCCACATTTTGAATGCTGAGGCAGGCTGAGGCTGAGGCAGGCTGAGGCTGAGGCCGAGGCTGAAGGCAGACTGAGGCTGAGGCTGAAGCAGAGGCAGGCTGAGGCTGAGGCAGGCTGGCAGGCTGATGCTGAGGCAGGCTGAGGCTGAGGCTGAGGCTGATGCAGGCTGAGGCTGAGGCAGGCTGAGGCTGAGGCCGAGGCTGAAGGCAGACTGAGGCTGAGGCTGAAGCAGGCTGAGGCTGAGGCTGAGGCAGGCTGAGGCTGAGGAGGCTGAGGCTGAGGCTGAGGCTGAGGCTGAGGCCGTGACTGCGACTGCCGTTGCCGCTGCGACTGTCATCGCGAATGCGACTACGACTGCGAGAACAGCAGAATTCGACAACTGGATTTTCATCTGAATCTTAAGGGGAATGCTTTCAGAAGGCTGAGGCTTGAGGCCGAGGCTGAGGCTGAGGCTGAGGCTGAGGCTGAGGCAGGCTGAGGCTGAGGCTGAGGCAGGCTGATGCTGAGGCAGGCTGAGGCTGAGGCTGAGGCTGATGCAGGCTGAGGCTGAGGCAGGCTGAGGCTGAGGCCGAGGCTGAAGGCAGACTGAGGCTGAGGCTGAAGCAGGCTGAGGCTGAGGCTGAGGCAGGCTGAGGCTGAGGCTGAGGCAGGCTGAGGCTGAGGCTGAGGCTGATGCAGGCTGAGGCTGAGGCAGGCTGAGGCTGAGGCCGAGGCTGCAGGCAGACTGAGGCTGATGCAGGAGCAGGCTGAGGCTGAGGCTGAGGCAGGCTGAAGCTGAGGCTGAGGCTGATGCTGAGGCAGGCTGAGGCTGAGGCTGAGGCTAATGCAGGCCACTGCGACTGTCATCGCGAATGCGACTACGACTGCGAGAACAGCAGAACTCTACAACTGGATTCTCATCTGAATCTTAAGGGGGATGCTTCCAGATATGCTCCTACACACCGCTGTTAGGTTGCTTTGCCGGGATAATTTTGGCCATACCCTGCGCATTCTCCCCATCCTCCTCGGCTCTTTTTGCGGAGGCTCCTCCTTGGAGAGCCTCTGGGGGCCTCGCACAAGTTATGTTAAGCTTTCTTAATACCTTCTGGAGGCCTCTTGGGCGTGTTCTGGGGGCCTCTGCGGGCTTCCTCTGGTCGCCCTGCCTTCAACCGCGGTCTCCCTGAATGACCGGGTCACGATTTGGAATGCTTCGGAGGGTGTCTTGGGGCCATCTTGGGCCGCCATGGGCCTCTCTGAGGGCCATCTTGGATCCCTGTTGTGCCGTTTTGGGGCTCTCCTTGGACTGCCTGGAAGCCCTTTGGAATGGTTATGGGGCGATTTTACAGCCTCCCAGGCGGCTTCGGACGCCCAGAAGACCGTCGTCTTGGAGAGTCGGGAAGCCCAAAAGAGGAGAACCGATCGAAAATCAATATGTTTTGCCTCTTGGGGCCTTCTTGGGAGTGCTTTTGGAGGCCTCTTGGGACGTTTCGGGACTATCTTTGGGGATATGATGGCTTCTTGGGGTCGTCCTGAAGTCACGTCGGTCACTCTTGGAGCGCTCTTGTGCTGTCTTCGGGGTTTCTGGGACGTCTCCGATGACCCCCCCGATCGCCCTAGGTGCGCTGGGAAGGCCTGGCAAGACGCCCTGCGAGGCCCGGGGGGCCGCTTCGAGGCCCGTCCAGAGGGCCCCAAAACCCCAGATCCCGGGAGCCCGGTTTGGGGGGGGGGGGCGGGTTTTCCCCCCGCCAAGGCTTGTAAAAATATAGGAAGAGGAATATGTATGCACATACATGGAGAAAGAGAAATGTATGTGTGTGTGTATATATATATATATATATGTTGCACCGGTATGTGTCCGTGACGCCACGCATGAGGAAAGAGCTGGCCCGGGACCTGGACGAGACTCCCAAGCACACTTTCTATAGAGACGATGCAACAATGGCGGAATCGGGTCGATCACAACAAGAGGGGCGACAGTGCCTGGAGCAACTGGACGCGAACCCCGTGCCCGTCTCCCCGGGCGATGAACTTGGCCGTCAGGCCGCCAACTCTCACGCTTTCCTGAAGCGCCCCGAAGATTCCAAAGACTCTGAGATGTGGACGACATGATAACCGATAATGTTGCCCAACCTTGTCGGATCAGCAGCAGCCGAAGCGGTCCTGCGAGCGGGGGCCCCTGGATCCCTGCCCTCGAAAAGCACGCGCGGCACCCCGGTGTGCCCGCAGATGCCTTCGGAGCCCCCGCGCCGGCGTAGGAGGCGATCGCAGAGGCCCCCGCCCCAAATAGCAATAGTAGTAGCCTTCCTCCACGGCGTGCAGTAGGCACACTGGTCAACATGGCGAAGGCGGCAATCATCAGCTTGGAGAAGGGGCACCAGCGGCGGCGCCAATCACATCATTGACGTGCGAGGGCTCTCAGGACCAACGGGAAGATGGCACCGCCGGCAGAGTCTGACGGTGGCAACTGTGAACTTCAAAGACGCGTTTTCCACGTCATGCTGGCGCTGGCACGACAGCCCCAGGACACCCGTCGGCTCGGCAGGTGCGCAGCGCGATCCTCGCCGCGCGAGACCGCGAGGCGCGCGGGGTGCCGAGAGAAACCGCGATGGGAGCGTTTGGCGCGATCCAATCCTTTCACTGCCCGCAAGAAGGCTGGCCGATGATGATCTTCGCGGGCCGTCGACGACCGACTGCCCGAAAGCGACCGCGCTCGGGCGCGCCGGCCCGAGGGTCGCCAGGGGCTTCGACTCCTTGCTGTAGCGGCGGAGCGAGGTCTCGCTCCGCCGCCGCCCTCGCCTCTGCGCGGCGGCCAGCGGCCCGCGCTGCAGCGCGAGGTCCTCGGAGGCGCCTCCGCGCCGTAGCTGGTTCAGACTTGGCCGCAGCGGGCCAGGGCCGAGGGGCGCAGCGGCGCCCTCGGACCTCGCCTTGAGGTCCTGCGGACTCAGGTCGCGCAGCAACGCGTCGGGCTGCAGCGAAGTCTTCAGGGCAGCCAGCGGCCTGAGGATCCACGGGTCGAGGTCCAGCAGCACTGACTCGCCCCGCGCGCCCGTCTTGCCGGGCTGCAGGGTCAAAGAGTCGCCCAGCAGAAGCCCCCGAGCGGCGTGGGCTCTCCGCGTGACGGGCCCGTAGATGGGTGAGCTCGCGCGGCCGCAGGTGGCATGCCAGCGCCAGCAGCGCGAGGGGGCCCGCCCTGGGCAGCCCCCGATGGGCCAGCAGTCCCGCGATGACTCCCGCGAGCGCCCGCGGCTGTGGCAGCCGCATCCGCGGCGGCGCCCGCCGGCGCCGAGCCGTGGGGCACCGGGCGGCCCTTGGCAGCCGGGTGCGCGGCGCGCCCGAGCTCCGGCAGCCGGTGCCCCTGGGCCGACAGGGTCTGCGACCCCGCGTCTGGCCCGTTGCCGAGCAGGAAGGCGGTTCAGGAATAGGACCAGCACCCCGTCCAGCGCCGACGTCGCGCCCCGGCTCAGGTTCCTCTCCTGGCAGAACAACGCGCACTGGCCGAGGAACGACGCGTGTAAGGCTTCGGTCGACGGCCGGATCGCCGGCCGCTCCAGGGCGCTCAGGCCGCCCAGGGCAGGCTGAGTCGCCGCCGCCTGGCGGGCGGCCGCACTCGAGATCCTCTCCTGCATGAGGGAGACATCCCCCGCGAGGCCGCTGGGCGCCGGGCGCTTGCGAAGCACCGCCGCGGGCCGCCGCGTCATCCGCCCCGAGCGCCGGGGGGGGCTGCCGGGCCCCCGTGCAAAGACTCAAACATCACGTCTGCCGAAGGACGCGCCGAAGGTGAACAGCGTTGGCCCCGCCCTTGGCCGTGGCATGCGCGAGGGGAAGGTTATCCACGAGCGACAGACAGCGGGCCCCGAAGTTGTCGAGATTGCGAAAAGGATGTTTGGCCGCCAGCAACAGCGCATCCCTCTCGAGACAAGATCATGCGTAACCAGGGGCGCCGACCACGACGGCGCGCCGAACAGGTGCTGGTGGACCTCGTTGAACGCCATGGCCCACTGCGCGATGTACCCAGGATCCCCGAGAATATCCTCGACTGGCCTTCAACCTTGAACCGCCACTTCTCTGAGCGCCGCCCATTCGTAGCGACCGGGCCCGGGTCTAGCAGCCGGGCAGACGCC